AACTTATATTTAGGTTACTACTTGCTTACTAAACTTTAAATGGTTACTCAAGACTCACTGCACTATTCATTACTTTACCCAATGCTCATCATACTTAATTCCATGTATATAGCTGGACAAATATTTCTACATGGCAAATAAAAAAATGACGTAACACATGAATAATATTAACCTCTTATAATTTTTTTTGCAAAATATTCCACTTATCTTCTTCAAATTTTCAAATAACTCCATTCTCAAATCACCTTCTTCCCCAAATCATCTTTTTCCCAAATCACCTTCCTCTCATGTGCCTGTAACATGCTTCTTTGATTCCTAGGTCACATGAAACTCTCTCTTCCTTTTTTTATTTTTATTTTTTGGAATTGGAAGACTGCTTAGAAATCCATAAAGACCTTCGAAAAACCCAATCCCTTCCATATTGTCATCCTTCCACGTTCTGATGCATTCCTTGGTTCACCATAAGAGTAGGCTCCTCGACTTCATTGTTAAACTACACATTCAAATCCAACTTCTCAAAGTTCTTTGCAACTCTCCCAGGTTGCTTTTGTGCATCAGTTCCAGACCCTTCCTTACTCGATTTTTCATTGATTTATTAAGCGCTTCCACCTCTTGTGTAGATAAAAGTTCATCATGTACATTCACATTTTGTTTTGGCTTCCCACCAGCCCCTTTTCCTTTAATGCTATTCACGTTCTTCTTCTTTTTCTTCATCTCCATATCATTCTTCCAATAAATATTAGACTCGCTCGAGTTCGAGAGTTCCACAATATCATCGTCATCATCAATTTATACTCTAGGAGTAGAACTCTTCCGCCCAGCCTTATTGTTTGCAGTAGTTGCATTCCCTATTTGTGTGGTCAAAAATACTACTTGAATAGGATAGAAAACATACTCAAAACTAGAGATTTAAGAATTAATGTGCATTGTCTATTATATCCTTATGCCTATATTATTTTCCGTCCTATAGTATTTTCCGCTCCCCCAAAATTGGTATCAGAGTCTAGTAACGAAACTGAAGAAAAATTTTAAAACTTAAGAAATATATTCTAAAATGAATAGAAAAGATAAAATAATTTTAGAAGAATTAC